GGTGTAATATCTGATACTGGAAACCCCTTGAAATCGTGGCACTGTAATATTACTGCTTCAAAATATCCCCGTTTTGAGGTGAGAATTTATTTTCATTTCTCAGCTGAAATAAAAATTTCCCAACACACGAAATATACCCCCTGGAGACACAGGAACAGGTTGCCCAGAGAAATTGTGGCTGCCCCATCCCTGGAAGTGTCCAAGGCCAGGTTGGACAGGGCTTGGAGCAACCTGGGCAAGTGGAAAGTGTCCCTGCCCATGGCAGGGGGTGGAACTGGATGAGCTTTAAGGTCCCTTGTAACCCAAACCATTCTGGAATTTTACAATATCATTCTATGGTTTCACAAACATTTGTCTAAAACGACAAAAGTTGTGTTAAGCTGCCAAGATTGAATGTTCTCAACAGTGTACTGAGCAGTCAGTGCTCCTCTCCTGAGCTTTTCCTGACTCTCTGGGCCATTCCTGTCCTTGTTACTGTTCACTGGATCCCTGAGAGTCAACATGAATCCAAGAACATCAGAGTTTGTCTTTGGCCATTGCCTTGAGTGGGGTTCAGTGACCCCCTTAAATATTCAGCACCATCGAGCCTAGAAGTGGAAACACCAACTATTCCCCCTCCAGGGCAGGTGTGGACAGAGCTCAGGGATCTTTGCAAGGCACCAACGCCTCCTCTTGCAGAGCACCTGGTAAATGCCAAACCAAGTGCTTGGCACTGTGTTTTTGAGTAACTAAATAGACAGTTTGGACTCTGAAAGTGCCAAGCACTCCCAGCTCCCACTGGGATTGAATACATTCAGCACCTCCAGAATCACTGAATCACTTTCTTACAGCTGCTCTACCCCAGAGCCAAAGGAAAACAGGCACAGAGCTCCCAGAACTTCCCTTGGAAAATACCAGCAATATAATTTTCTTATTCCATGTGAAGGAGCTAAAGGTAACACAAAGAATGTAATATTTAAATGCTGGAGTTTGAAAATTATTTATTAGGAGCTCATTGTTCATATTTAAAATTATTTCTTTCCAATGAACTCCCTGTTAGGGTTAAAAAAATAATAAAAAAAAAGTTAATGAAGAGCTCCTTAACAAATAAAATATTTCTGTTTAAGTAAAATAAAAGGCATTAGATACTTTTTAAATCTATGTTTCAGCTGTTGGTCTGCATTTCTTTGGGTTTGCCAGGCAGGTTAATGTTACTTATTTTCCTCCAGTTAGCAGAGACAGGTAGTGAAAGACAATTTCTGCCCAAGAATATTGAATAATCAATTAAGAAAAAAATAAAATTTAGTATCTCTTTGCCAGAGATAAGGACAGAGCTCAGCAATGGCACGGTCAGCTCCACCTCAGCCACCTTGGCCACAGAGCCATCAGGGATCCTGTGTCTGTTCAGTGCCGGGATCAGGGAAGGACAGTCCCCTGTGACCCCTCGGAGGGTCCCAGTGTCTCTGACACCAGAGCTACTCTCAGGGGCTGCCCAGCTCTTTGCTGGATAATAACCCCAGTTTACGATGCCCAGGGGGGCCAACCCAGTCCTGGGGGCATCAGGCCCAGCATGGCCAGGGAGGGGATTGTCCCGCTCTGCTCTGCCCTGGGGCGGCCTCACCTCAACATTGGGGCAGTTTGGGGGGACACAATGGAAGGAAGAGATTGAGCCATTAGAGAGTGTCCAAAGGAGGGAAGGAGGATGGGGAAGGGCCTTGATTTGAAGGTGTGTGAGGACACTGAGGGCACTTGGTGTGTTCAGCTGGAGCAGAGGAGACTGAGGGGAGACCTCAGTGCAGTTCCACCTTCCTGGGCAGGGGCAGAGGAGGGGCAGGGACTGAGCTCTGCTCTGGGGGGACCAGGGACAGCAGCCAGGGAAGGGCTGGAGCTGTGTCAGGGCAGGCTCAGGTTGGATCTCAGCCAAAGGTTCTTCCCCCAGAGGCTGGTTGGGCACTGCCCAGGCTCCCCAGGGCAGTGGGCACAGCCCCAAGGCTGCCAGAGCTCAGGAGGGTTTGGATGATCCTCTGGGGCACAGGGGGTGACTCTTGGGGATGGGCCTGTGCAGGGCTGAGGGTTGGACTGGAAGATCCTTGTGGGCCCAGCACATTCTGGACTCTGTGGGCTCCCTGCTGTGTCCCTGGGCAGTGGCACTGCACTGAGAAGGGAGCTTCCACCTCTGGGCACTCACCTCTCCTGCCACTGCACTGAGAAAGCAGCACCGTGGCTTCTCCTCCTTCCAAAGCAAAGGCTTGAAGGTGCCCCAGACCTTTTAGGAGCAGTAGGAACAGGTTGCTGACTGCATGGAAGCCACTCAGAACCAAGTCCCATGGGAGCTTTCTGCTTCCAGGGCTCTTTACTTCCCCAGCTCTTCCTTCAGGGCACAGACAACAGGAAACCCCACCCGGTGTTTGCTCCCAGAGGGAGGAAGGTCTCTGAGGGGCTGGGTACCCCCTCCATGGGAAGACCTACTCCAGCCCTGCCCTGGCAGCCCTGCAAGGTGGGAAAAGCAGTGGTGGGTGGGTGTGGGAACCCCTGCCTGAGCAAGAGCTGCCCTATTAATTCCATCCTGCCCAGAGCTCCAGGGAATTGCTCTTTCCAGCTAAGTGAGAAAGGTCAGTCAGGAAGGAAGGTGATATTTTCAGGCATATTAAACCACTTGGTTTTGGCTAAAGAATCTTCACAAATGACTAGGCAGCTTCAAAATGTTAAGGCCAATTAGAACAGGAGGTACAAGCCAGAAGAGAGAATATGTTGGAGCTGCAGAGAAAGAAAAACAGAGGAACTGCCTTTAAGAAAAGTAAAGGAATTACTCTAATGGCCTCACACACACACATACACACGTGCACCTACTTTCACCACGCTAACTACAACCACAGGAAGCAAAAATCCCCTTGGCTTTTCCATATTCTCTTCCCAGACCACCAAAAATATTCCTTGTTTCTCTAATTCCAGTGTCAGAGGAGCTGTGCTCTGCCTTAGACATATTGAAGTGTAATGTGTGAGTAAGAGCACTTAGAGAGCATTTATTTGGGGATTTCCCCACAAATGGGAGAAAAAAAAACCCAAAAAGCAGTCTAAGGGAAAATCAGTTTATCCTAAAATCAAGGCAGTTGAAGCACTCAAATATTCCTGAAATTTGGTGAGATCAGCCCTGGTCAATGTTCCTGAAACTGCCAAAGGAGGAAAGAAAGGGCAGGAAAAAACCCAATTAAAACCAATGAAAAAAGCCCAGAAAGTGTGCAGAAAACATGATTTCCAGTTTCAAATGTTTGCAAAACACAAGTGATGACCCAGAACAATGGGATTGACTTAAAAAAAAAGAGAAATTTTTGTCAATCAATACACCAGTGATTTCTTTTTGTCTGCTCATAATTTCTGGCCTTTTGGAATCCACTTTTTTGAATTTTTAAGCACATCCTTGATGGAGAAACATATGGGATTGTGCAGAGTCTCCATCTCCCTGATGGAGAAACATACTGGTAGTTTTATTTTGTCTGAAACTACAGTTGTCTGTTCTCATACCAATGACAAGATAAGGAGCAGTGGTATGAGAGCCTCAGTGTCCCAGTATAATGAGGATGAGATGGATCAGGCTGGAAGGTGACCCTGCCCGTGGTAGGGGGTGGAATGAGCTGATCTTTAAGGTCCCTTCCAATCCAAACCATTCTGTGATTCTGTGGTTTCTGTTCCCGGGGAGAATTTGGTTTTGGCCAACTATGAAACCAAACGTCTCCAGTTCCCGCCCCAATCCACTGGAGCCTCCAGTCTCCAAAGCCTGGGGCTGTGTTTGGTTCCTGGCTGTCCCTGGGTGCACAAACACTGTGGTTACAGAGCTGTGCTGAGCTTGTCTCTTGTCTCTTGGCACGTGTGTGCTGCAGAACCTTGGCCTCCTGTCAGGCTCCGTTCTCCACCACTGGCTCACACTGACACCACCTTTCAGAGGCAACAGCCTGGTAAAAGTCTGTCTGGTGCCTGCCTAAACCAGCTTGTTGTTCATGAGAAACTGCTGTTTCAGCTTTGATTCCTTTGAGGTGGAGATGTGAAGCTTGTCTACACCAGGAAACCTTCCCAGCGTAGCTGTGCCAACATCCACACATGTCCCTCAGCATCGTGGGGGGCACAGCCTGTGTGAGCTTAGAATAACCTTTGAAATGAAATCAGCTCCCTAAAAGGTTTAACCATGGCCAGCAAAAGGCTGTACAGAGTTGTACATGGGATGGGAGAGGGGAAAAAAGGATATTTTTAATGCTACTAATGGGAAAAACAAATTTAAGGTGTAGAAATGCTGGGGGTTTAATCTAAATTAGCAAGGAACAACTTCAAACCACTTTTCATCAGCTGATTCACCTCACTAAAGCAGCCTCAGACGCTGCAAACCTCACATAAGCTGGTTTAGCTCCTGCTGGCAATTACCACAGCCAGGTATGGGCATCCAAGCACATCTCCATTTGGGATGTTCTCTGCTTTAATTACATCTATTTAGAGCCACTTGGGCAAATCCAGTGGAACTCCTCTCATCCAGAGCAGAGGCCAAGTGCCAGAGTTGTAATTGCTTCATTTCTATTCTGCAGCCAGCCCCGAGCACCAGTACCAAGCCTGTGCACACAAAGTGGGGCATTTCTATAGAAATAAACTGTGGAATAAAAACGCCTACACTTACTGTGGCCATATGGAATTTCCCCAGTCCTTCTCAGGCTTCCTCAAGGGTGATTTTAAAGACACAAGTGTTTGAGACCAGGGGAGCTGCTGTCTGATATTTACCATGAGATATTCTTCCAAGAAGTTTTTGATTGCAAAAAACAAAGACTCATTCCTCCAACATGTGCTCTGGAGAGCAAATCCCAGCAGCAGGAAGTGTGCCAGAGCAGGAGAGCTGTGGGTGACCTCAGCCTTGGTGGTGTGTGGGCTGCAGAGAAGAGGTTGGCAGCAGTGATGGTGCCAACAGGCCCTTGCACGTGTTCTCAGCTTGTAAATTTGTGTGCTGAGATGGGAACCAACCACCCTGCTCACAGATCTTCTGGACTGTGCAAGGGCCCATGAGGAGCAGGGTCCAGGGAACAGTGAAGAGCATGTCTAGGAGAGGAGATGAGTGTCACACATAAGTGACATCATCCAGCACAGGGTGCTGACAGCTCTCCAGGGCTGGAGAAGACATTCAGGCACCATTGGGTAACTGTGGTCTTCTCTGTGGGGACCAGTGACAGGACCTGAGGGAGTACTCTGAAGTTGTGTCAGGGCAGGCTCAGGTTGGATCTCAGGCAAAGGTTCTTCCCCCAGAGGCTGGTTGGGCACTGCCCAGGCTCCCCAGGGCAGTGGGCACAGCCCCAAGGCTGCCAGAGCTCCAGGAGGGTTTGGCTGATCCTCTGGGGCACAGGGGGTGACTCTTGGGGATGGGCCTGTGCAGGGCTGAGGGTTGGACTGGATGATCCTTGTGGGTTCCCTCTAACTCAGCAGATTCTGTGATTTTTGTGAGCAAACTCTGGGATGGTGTCAGCACCCCCTGTGCCACCTGAGCTCTGCCTCATGGGACACCAGCCAACTGTCTTCAACTCTCAGCCAACGTGGTGCATCAAACCAACAGATTTATGGCTATTTCAGAGGAGAGAGGAAATTTCCACCTATATTTCACTTCTAGGCCTGTTGGATGCCTACAGAAAGTGGGACCACCTCCCTTACCCAATTCTGGATTGCCCAGACTGTCCTGCAGCAGAGCTTTGCTCTTTTTGTCACTCAAACAACGTTCAGAATCTCCATGCATGTGAAATTCTCCTCTTCTACCATCTGATACTTTCCCATCTCACATCACCTACTACAGAATGAAATATTGAGATGAGAAAATCAATGGTGTCCCTCTTTATTATCATTATCATATATCTTTATCATACTTGTCTTATAAGCAAAAGACTTTCCAAAGGAATTTCATGTCAGGTCCCAGGAGCTGGCCAAGGACGTGTAGGACAGGATGTCTTTGCCAATCAACACTTAGCTCAAGTTGGTAGGGAAAGTGCACACTGGGTCGTGTGGGTGTGTGTTCCCAGCTCTGTGATCTCCATCCCAAGATGCTCCTATGAGGTTACTTCTCAAGAAGATTGTTTCCTCTGGAAGGTGGAGAAACTTGCTGTACCTGTCCATGTGGTACCCCTTCCTACACACCAGTGAGGGTTGTGTTGTCTTCTCCAAGGAGAGGAGGGCTGCCTGCTAGGTGTCTGGGGTGGGGCTCACTCTAGGGTCTTCTGGAGCCAGAAAGGATGGAGGTGCTTCTGGACACACCAAGGAAACATCTCAGACAAAGAAATGAGGAAGGAGGCTCGTAGAGGTGATCAGTGTTGAGCATTAAACATTCTCCATCCCCTGACAGAGGCCAATGTTGTGCTCTTCTCCTTGTGACAGAGACCATTCTGGTGAGGGACTGATGTCCTGTGCTTTCATCTCTGCAGCCACAGGCACAGAGGGAAGTTCTCCCTCCCCTTAAGTACCTCTCACCTCCTGACCTTAATGACATTACCTTACAGGCTGCACTGGGCTTGAAGCCCAAGAACTGCTAAGCCTCCTTCCAGGTAAGTAATCCCAGTTTACAGCATATGAACATCAAAGGGGTTAACCAGGAAGTTTTTGTGTTTCTGTTGTTTAAAAAAAAAAAATCTGAAACAGTTGTGGAATTGCTTCTTTTAATCAAATGTTGGTTGAATCAGGTCATTCCAGCTATAGGATTTAAGTGACCTAACATGGTACAGCTGCAGGAGCCAACACTGAGTCTCTAGTGTTTCTCTGAAAGCCAAAGAGAGGAGGGTGAGTGTGTGGAGGGGGGTGATGAGTTTCTGAGCAAAAGAGATCATTTAAGATGCAGAAACAGCAAATTGAGCACGAAACATTCCATGGGATAAATTCTATCAAACGAAGGTGTCTGAGAAAATGGAAACTGAAACCTTAGGCAGGTGTTTCAGTTTCTCAGTGAGAACATCCAGTGACTACCAAACCTGTTTTGTGATCACGTTTACAACTATTCAAAAATGGTAATTAAAAATGTGATGATGTCACTCATGGACTCCAGGGAACATCCAGAGATGAGCTGTGCATTCCTTCAAATGGGGGACTGTCCTTCTCAGCTCACCTGCCCTGTACTTGCTTTAGAAGTGTATTGAGAAGGTGACATTTGCTACTTTCTCCATAACTCGCCTTTTGTGTAAATCACCTCATACCAAGTCTGGACTGGATGGCATGTGGGATCTGTTGTTTCATGGTGCAGGAAGGTGGGTGTTTGCACAGGGACTCCCCCCATCCCCATGCAATTCAAACTCCTTCCCCTGCCACAGGCCCGTGGTGACATGACCCACACGGGGCTGGGGTCTCTCTGACGGGCAGCTCCTGACGTGGGTGGTTGATGGTCCCTGAGGTGTCCCCAGGAGGCCGCTCCAGGGCTGTGTGCTGTGCACAGTTCCCTTTCCCCCTGTGGAACAGCACTGTGACATTCCTAAACCACTCCCTTTCCCTCCCCACAGCTGACAAGGAGGCTGACGAGTACTACATGAGGAGGAGGCACCTGCCCGACCTGGCGGCGCGGGGGACGCTCCCCATCAACGTCATCAAGATGTCCCAACAGACCAACCACCGGGACAGGCCCCGCCGCCCCATCCGGGCCATGTCCCAGGACAGGGTGCTGTCCCCTGAGAGGATCATGCCCGAGGAGTTCAGCATGTCCTACGAACGGATCCTCTCAGACGAGCAGCTGCTGTCGGCCGAGCGCCTGCACTCCCAGGACCCGCTGCTGTCCCCGGAGCGCTCGGGGTACCCCGAGCAGTCCATGTCCCGGGCACTGTCCCACACGGATGTCTTTGTGTCCACACCCGTCTTGGATCGCTACAGGATGTCAAAAATGCACTCCCATCCCAGTGCCTCAAATAACTTGTACAACACTCTGGGGATGACCCCCACCTCGGCCAAGCGCCAGGCCTTCGCCTCGCGCCGCCACAACACCGTGGAGCAACTGCATTACATCCCCGGCCACCACCACCACTATCGCACGGCCAGCAAGACTGAGGTGACTGTGTGATAGGACCTCGGGCCTTGTACATACTCTGTAAGGACTGGGGGTGGCCACAGCACCCCACACTGCAGTGGCCTTATAGGCCAAGGTAACCTCTACTAACTCAGTGTCTGCAAAGACTTCTCTGACAGTCCCATCCATGTTGTTTTTAAAGCCACCCCTCCATCGGTGACATGAGAAGAACCCAAGCAAGCCAACAGACAATAGTGAGGGATAATAGAGGAAATTTTCCTGATGTGCATCAGTTTCTGTCAAAGAAAGCCATAGTAATCGATGGCTCCTTCCAAGGGCTCACCTGCATCATCTCATTGTTCCCATGAATTTAGGACTTTTCCGTTGCTCCAGGTAGAAGCAGTCCCATGCAGCCCGAGGTAGAGAGGAGGAAACACAGCACCCCATCCTGTCAGGAAGGGGCTTGTCCTCATATTTGGTCTTTCTGTAGCAAGGAGGGAAGTTCTGGCTGCTGGGGGGTCACCCCCAGGCTGCTCGACACCAGTCAGCACCCACGCATCTGTTCCTTGTCACCCTTGGAGCAAGTTCAAGGGCAGACTTTCCTTGGGGACTGGCAGATCTAGGGACAAGAATAGCCTGGCTGAGAAATAAACTTTTAGTATATATTAAATATACTCATAAGATACAAACATACTAGTGCCTACAAATCGCCTGCTCTCTCAGTGTAGGAAGTAGTGGGGTTGATGTGTTCAATAAGCACAAATACGCTGAAATGCTTGTTTCCCTTTCCTCCACTCATCACTCTAATATCTTGGTGTCTCCAACATGTAAATAGGAAGGAGGAATAGGGTTTCTCTTCCTCCAGCTTCTTGCCACTGCTGAACCTAAAGCACCAGAGTTTGTTCAGCTTCACCCTGCTGAGCCGTGCTGGGGAGGTCCCAACTGCACCGAGAGCCCTGCAAGGCCAGGCTTCCACCCCTGCCCCCGAGCCTGGATCTCTCCTCAGAATCTTTTCCTGACAGCATTTTCCACTGGCCCAGGTCCCCTGTTTCTGAACACATTTTCTCCTCTCAGTTACAACCCAGAACTCCTTATGTAGCAAATCTTTCCCCAGCCCTCAGCAGAAGCACAAGACTGGGGGTGTCTCTGCCCAAAAGCAGGTCGGTAACTTTCCATGATTTTCTCTCCATGTGATGGCCTCCCAAGAAAACCTTCCAAATTCCAATTCCACTGAGTACCAATCCTAACCATGAAGACAGTTACATTTCATGCATATAAATTATATATCCAGCATAATTATAATTAATGGGCATGTTGTATATCTGATATAATGCTAATTAGATACTGTATATTTGTAAAATCTTTAAAACAGAGACTCGTGGGTCCAGAATTTGTGAGGGTTTTATCCTTGGCTTTCCAGCCAGATTGGGCTTTGCTTTGGTTTTTTTTTTGTTTTGGTTTTGGTTTGGTTTTGGTTTGTTGTTGTTGTTGGATTTGGGTTTGGTTTTGCTTTATTATTTTTTTCCCTTTTATTTGTGTTCCTATCAAATTCTGTAGAACTAACTCACATCAGAACACACTTCTGTGACCGGGAAAGGGTCTCAGAGGTTTGGAAGGCCAGCCAGACCCAGTGCTGTAACTCCTGGTGCTGGACCCTGTCCATGGTGTGCCCTGGGGGTCCCACCACATGCTGTCCACGCTGCCCGTCCCACCGGCAGCCACGCTCCCTCCTCTGGGTGACATGACTGATTCAGGCTGTAAGAACATTCCTGGACACTTCTCCTCATGTCCTACATTTCCAATTAAATCTTTTCCTACATTAAACCTCACTGAACTCAGCTCTGCCCTGGTCCCTCCCCTCAAATACCTCCCACCTCCCGGCCTTAATGATGCTCCCAGCTCCACATGCCAAGTCCTGTAGCAAACAATGACTGGGAGCTTGAGTCTCCTCTGGAGGTTTATGAGTCTCCTGTGGAGGTTTCTGATGCAGCACCAGGTTTGTCAGGGTAGGCAGGAGGAGCACATGTCCTTATCCCAGTGGGATTTAGAGGCAGGCCTTGGTGGGGTGGCCACATGGGCCTGTTGGTATGAGTTCCAGAGCTTTATTCTGCCCCATCAGATGGAGACCGTGCTGAGAAGGATCCATCAGTGAGAGGTGCTGGGGCTTTGTTTGACGGAAACTGAGCTGGGAAGGAATAAATAACAGTCTCCATGGTTCAGATTTGGCAAAATCATTCTGGGCAACAACCAGAACTGTCTGTGGATCAGAGTGGCAGTTCATGGCATGGGAGGGATGAGAGAGAAAAGGCTCACACCTCCTCTCCTGACCCTTCCCCTGAGGGACACCACTCTCCCCTGACTACCTCCAAGCTCCTCAGCTCAGTCACTGGATATTTCCTCCCAGAAGACAATCCCTGGGACAATATTGCCCTGTGCTGACCTTCCCACAGACCAGTTTGTGACTCTTGTGAGGGCAAGAGACACTAAGAGGGCTGATGGGGAGTCAGTCCCTGATTAGGTTCTGGGGCTCTTCCTTTCACTCTTGGCCTAAGAAAGGCCAGGATTTCCCCTTTTCAGGCAGGGAGACATGAACACTGTGGGAGAGGAGAGGCCACCCCAGAGTCTGCGGGAGCTGTGGTGGCAGAGCCAGAGGAGCAGAGGTGGCAGTGTGAGGCCATGGGTAGGTGAACACTCCTCTCTTTCCATTCCCATAGCTGTCTGTCTCAAGCTCTAGTCCTTGTCTAAATGTTCCATTTATGAGCTAAGAAGTTGCTGGACCAGATGCAGATTTGGGAATTTTTCCCTCAAGCAGCCCATGCAGATGCTGAACTGTGCCCGTGTCATTTGACCTCGGTGTCTTCTCTTATTCTGCTTGGCAAATATCACCAAGCCCTCTGCCAATTGTCCTATCTGGGCAACAACCCTCCAAAGAAAATTAAGCCCCATTTCCTTGTCTTTTCCACCCACTCAACTGTTTTAAGCAGATGTGTCCCACCCTTTTTGGGCTAAATCTCTTCAGGGACTCTGCCACCACCACAGAAAGTTTTCAGCAAATTTTCTTGGGAAGGAATAATGCCCTTGATACCAGTGGGGCACACTGTGCTCCCATGGCTTGCTTTGTGTGCTGGGCTGGGTTGGGAGATGGGGCAGTGATGTTCCAGCACACACAGGTGTTCTTTGGTTATTTTTTTTCCTTATTCCTCACTCTGGGAGTTTGTCACTGAACAAATACTTGCTCTGGGACCGGGTGTCGTGTCCCACAGCCTGATCCCAGCACTTCAGTTCCCTGTGATGATAATGGGAACACCTTCCAATTCCACAGAGGCTTCAGACCATGGTGTGAAGGGCTTTGAGACCCTCTCACAGCAGAAACTGTAGAGCAGCAAAGTGTTTTTATGACTATTGTTTGTCATTGTCCTGACACATCGTGTGTGATGTGTTACAATCCTGTCTGCCCAGAAAGGGAGTGCTGGGGTGGGCAGATGCCGCATCCCAGATTTCCCATTGCTCTCTTTCTGGCCAGGGTCCCTGGGAGGCACAGCTCCAAGGGGTGATGCCACCTGCACTGGGACCTCTCTGCTTTCTCCTCCTCATGTCTGAGTCACCACGACATCCTGCACTCAGGAGAAAGGCAGGAAGCAGCCACATTCCTCTGTACAGTGAAATAGAATCTGCCTTGATTAATCCAATATACTCTGAAGAATTGAGCTTTTTCTTCAACCCACAGGTGGAAACACCCCTGTGGAGTGTCCAGTTCCCTGAGTGCATGTGCAGGGACCAGGAGACGGGGTATAGAAAAGTTTATATTATTTCCTAAAAACTGATCATTATTTGCATTCCCTGAGCAGCAACAAAACCCAGTGCTCTGCACTGGGATTTATACACAATTCTCATGTGTGTGTATGTATATGGACACAAATATATATACACATACACACTGCAAAATGCAATCAGTAATTCTGACTGACCCTGTATCAATGTAAGCTTCAAACTACATCAAATCACTCTTTGAAATGTGGCAATCTACTTTTAATGAACGACACAGAGCACCACATGGAACAGAATTTTGACATAAAAAGTCTTCTAATGCCAGTGACTCATGTTTTAAGGAAAAATGAAATATTTTTCAATGTTTTAACGTTCCTTTTATAAATGATGATCTGTTATTTGGATATGGGAGTGGGTGGGAAGAAACAGGGACAGTTTTCTGGTAGTAAGCTCTCCTTTCCTGGCCTAGATTTCATTTCTGTCTGCTGTTCTGGAACCTGGCTGGCTACAAAGCTGGTCCCATGAACCTGGGCTTCCTGCATGCATCTTTCTGTTCCTGTATCCATCAGAGGCATTCCCACCAGGAATCTGCAAGAAACTGGTATGTTTTTTGTAAGAGATGGACAGTTCCTGGGAGCTGGGACATGTCTTCACCTTCTTCCACCACTGCAACCAAACTCATCATGAAACAGGGTAACTTTAATTGTGTTTGAAATATGTGTTCTACTTTGTGATCAATTTATCATCTTCAGTTCATGTGATGGAGAAACAGCTTGTGTTGGTTTTATTTCAGATTTAGTGTTCATGTGGAAGGAGGGACTCTGCTGAAATATATCTCACACGTACAGGTCTCGTGTCGGGGTATATTTCCAATGAGTGAAAAGTAAGGGGAATATGTGAGAAAGGGGCTGAAATATTTTCATACCAAGTGTTGTAGCAATAAGGCTGTGCTGGGGCTGCTCCTCAAAGAGCAGCCACTTTGTGCTGTCTGCCAACAGACGGGAGAAGGGATCATTCCCAGTTCCCAGAGTCGGCTCTTGGGGTGCCCTCACCAAAACCCAGCTGAGAAAGCCCCTGTGGCAGCCCAGGGGTGAGGGGAGAGCTGCAGGGTCCCTTTGGGGCGTGGTGGTGTCGATGTGAACGAGTTCTGTGCCCTCAGCACCCCCTGTCTCCATGGCCACACGATGTCCGGGAGGTCTCCATCCCACTGCCCCCCTGACCCTCTGCCCCCTGTGCCCCCCTGCCAACCCCTGAGACATTTTTGTAGCAAGAATTTCTTGGCTCTGAGAAAGACACTTCTTACTGTAATATTTTTAGTTTCGGGGGACAATATTTCCTAAGAGGGGTTAAGTGGATATTTTTGTGCTTTAGCCCAGTTTATGGATTCCATGTTTATTATACAGTAGTACTGAAGAGGAAGTACATTTGTATCTGTAATTTGCACAGACTCTTGGTTAACCATTAAACAAGCTTCAAGATGAGCAGTATTTGACTGTTTTTCTCTGTATTATTCTTGTTGTTATACTTACCTGTAAAAGCACATTCTGTATGTACTGTAAACAAAAATATTATCAGTTTAGTAAAATTTAGAGTCTTAAGGATTTTTCCACTTTTGTCAGTAACAAATATTTATGGATTAAAAAATAAAGGCAATTTCAACATAGAAGTTGTTTCTTTTTGATATCTATTGGGGGGAAATAAAAGCCATTTTCTTGGCGGCCTTCCCAATATTTGTAACCAGCGTTTGAAAGGTAGATATCTGTGATTCTGTGTGTAGTTAAATAGCATCTATTAAAATGAATGCTGCAAGGTCTGCAGGAGTCATTATTTTTATGTATTTATTTACTGCATTTAATCATCAAACCAGAAAAAGAAGCAGGGAAGAAACAAGACATTAGCATTTGCTGTAAAATTCTGTCTTGCAAGCCTTAAAGATTTTATTTTAAAGTTGCCCTTCTCTAAGTTTGCATCCATAAACTGTGATATTCTCTCCATCTTTGCCTTGAATTGCAAAGTTGGGACTTCTGGAATGTCTGGAGGCTTCGACATGGGCTTTACTTCACTTTTGAACACACAGGAGTTTCCCCATCTTTCTTCTGAGATGTGAAACGTGCTGAGGAGACATTTGTGTGTCTGACTGAACAGCCCCCCGTGCTACCAGAGGGTCAAACTGTATTTTAATTTCTCCCAGCTCTGAATTTGGGATTCCTTCCTATTCTGGCTGGCTGGGAAACCTGGTGGGGATTTTCTCTTGCCTTTTGTGAAGGAAGAGTAAAATTTCATATTTCCCTTTTCACATTCATTTGCCTTCAGCATCGTGAGGATTTGCTTACATGGAAAAATGGGAGAGTTGGGAATTGGGAAGGATTGCTGGAAATAAAACTGTTGAGACATCAGTGCCCTTTCCCAGCACAGCTCTGGGGTGCAGGGAGGGCACTGCTTCCCTCACAGCCCATCCTTGCACTGCAGGGCTTTGGGAGAAGCTCTTCTCACCCAGCTGTGCCACATCTCTGCCCCTGTCCCTTCCCTGCCACCTGGCAGCTCTGGCACTGAGGTTCAGAGGAATTCTGCTGCCATGTCATCCCAGGACTGACACACCACAGGTCCTTTCTGCTGCTGCCTTGGTGTGGTGCAGAGGTCCTCACTTCTCCACCACTCACCTACCAAGCCCCAAGCTCTGCTCTTTGCTCAGGGATAATGGGATTGTTTAGACTGGAAAAGAAAAGACTCCAGGATGACCTGATATCCAATACCTGAAGGGAGATGACAAGAAAGATGGGAGAAACTATTTACAAGGGCCTGGAGGGACAGGACAAGAGGAATGGCTTCAAACTCACAGAGGGCAGGGTTAGATGGGATACTGGGAAGAAATTCTCCCCTGTGAGGGTGGGGAGGCCCTGGCACAGGTTACCCAGAGAAGCTGTGGCTGCCTCATCCCTGGAAGTGTCCAAGGCCAGGTTGGATGGGGCTTGGAGCAACCTGGGCTGGTGGAAGGTGTCCCTGCCCATGGCAGGAGATGGGACTGGATGAGCTTTAAGGTCCCTTCCAACCCAAACCACTCTGTTATTCTCTATCTTTCTGTTGCTTTGCTGCTCAGCTTTAGTGGACTAAAGAAGCTTTGAGGAGGAATACCCCACAATCAACTTCCAGAGGAGGTCCAGTGGGAAGACAGGGCCCTTCTCTAGCCCTTTGGCCAAGCTTGTGGTCTCCTGTGTCTGTGTGAGCAGAGCTCAATCAGTGAGACACAACCAGCACTGCCTGAGAAACACATGAACCCGGCAGAGTTAATTAAAATGCATTTTTAAGGGAGAAGTTTCGTTTTGCCTGGCAGTTCTATTCATAATTACCCAATTCTTTGTGGCACTAATAAATCAGGATGGAGCAATGGGGAATTAGCTGATTTCTCCACTTCCCATAAAAGGCATTGAGGAGAACAGCAGAATTTGTGGTGTTGAGAGTCAGTGATGACTGAGATGAGGCTGGGACCAATTCTTACCTCAAAAGACAGTGAATCCCACTGTTTCCAATCCCTATAATAATTGATTTCAGTGCAAAGCTCACACTTTGGTGACCAGCCTTCACTCAAGCCATCCCCACTGGTCCCACTAAGTGAGCTCTGCAGCTTCTCTGCTGGTGGCCCAAGGTGGCTCAGGTGGCCTGGGCACCCTGGCCCCCTGAGGAGCCCCCTCCAGGCAGGGTATGACTCCCTTGCACGACTGGAGGGACACTTTGGTGGGTGTCACAGAAGAGGATGAGCCCCTGGCCCACCCCAGCACAGTGTGTCACCCCCAGTGCCTGTCCCTGGCTGGTGCAGCTGGGATTTCCCAGGCTGAGCTGGAACCAGGTCCAGCTCATCCCCACACTGCCTGGGGAAGATCCCACCTCACCCCTGGGGGCTCCAGGGCAGGCTGAGCAGGTCCCAGTGGATCCCCTGACTGGGGGAACAGAGCACAGAAAGGGCAAGGCCAGCTCTGGGCAGGGGCTCTGCAGAGGAAAGACCTTCCTGTGGAAGGACTGAAGGATGGGAATGGTGGTGTGGGTGTGGGGTCACCTGAGGAACACTGAGGCTGGATTTTGTCAGCCACTTCTCCTTGGTGGACACAGCTCAGCCACAGGTCCCAGAGCAGAGTCCTGGTGTCACCTCCCACAGCAGGGTCCTCCTGTCACCTGGTCACACCAGTGCTGGCACAGAGCCAGAGCTGCACAGGGCCAAACATTCCATTAGAAAAGCAGCAATTCCTCCTGCCGGGAAGGCTCAGGATCCTCACATGTGAAAACAGAGAGGATTGTGTTCACTCCTGGAAAGGCCAAATCCAGTAAAACTGCTGGGAGGCCCCAAGGATGCTGTCAAAGTCAATGACAGAAGTCAAAACTCCATCAATCACATCTTCCCAGCAGCTCTCCCACTCTCCCTGGGCTTCAGCAAAACACATAGGAATGTTTCCTAAACCCAAGGATTAGCACTGCTCCCAGCTGCCTTGGAAAGACATTGGAAAATGGTGAAGAATAAGAGGACTACAGGATAATTAACACCTTTCAGCAGGGGTTTAAAAAAAGCAGATGTTGTCAAACAACCCCAAATCAATTCTCTAACGTTCTTACAATTTGGGCTGCAGGATGATGGGTATGTGCAATGTGTTTTGCCTTTTCTACAGCACTAGATCATGTGCTGCTGGATAATCTGAGGGGGATTTGTGTCACTCCACGTCCTTGAGAGAGCTGGTGTTGAAGGGCTGCAGCAGAGGGGAACTGGCAGGGCTCAGGGTGGGTTTTACCCTCTCAAGAACCACTGCAAGTGATATCTGGCAGAACTTAGGACAAGGCCACGCACTTTAGAACACTGAGCTCAGTGATCCAGAAATAAGGATGAAATTGTCACTGCTGAAAGTTTCAGAACACAGAGGGTTTGGGATGTAAAAAGCAATAAAAGAGGGAAATTCTGAGTCAAGGGTGGGCTGGAGCCTTTGAACAGAAGGTGCCCTAATGCCACAAGTTCTGCCAGACCTGCAGGACCTGGAGCAGGGCTGCTGGGGTGGCTGTGGATCTCCTGGGGGAGAAGCAACCCAACTCCAAACCGAGTTGGGGAAATGTTTTTCAGTGACATTTTTACAGAGCTCAGCATTTCAGCTTGAAGTGAGAGGCTCTGAGGTGACGTGGTCACCAGGTATAAGCACTTTTAGGGGGTGAAAAGTGTGGGGTGTTAAAAAACTCTTTAATCCAGGCTTAGAAGGAGCAGCTGCTGAAAGATGAAGCCAGGTGAGTGTCCCCAGAACAAATTTCAAGGAGACACGAAATGGGGGCTATTTCCCACTGCAATAAATGCTGGATGGCTGCCAACATTAAGTCATATTGCCACAGTAATTCTCTTAACTGGAAACCACCTTTCTCTCAGCTATTTTCACAGTCAAAACCTACAGCTCAGTGAGTCCTTCTGTGGGTCGAAGTTCCCTTCAAACCTGGGAGTGTTTTCTGCCCACAGAGCAGAGATCTGTGTCCACAAGGCATTTCCTCCCAGGCTGTAACACACTTAAAGGCATTTGATAATGAATGGAGCTTGGAAGAGCTTCCAGGAGCATCACCATTCCCTGCAGAGCAGGGAGGACTTTGGAAGGAGAGACTTTTGGAAGTGACTCACCCCACTCACAGAGTGAGTCAGGAGTAGACTGGGAATAAGATGCAGTTTCCTATTTCCCTCCTTGTTGAAATGCCAGATAACAGCTCTTCTTTTCTGCCTCTAGGTTTGGGAAGCACTTTTTATTTATTCCAGTTTGAACTTTGGGCTGCCCACAAAGCTCAGCCTCTGCCAAGAGCACAGTGAACTCCAGCTTTGCAGGAACTCCCAGGGTGCTGTGGCACAGGGGCATCCAGGGCAGGGGAGAGGACAGATCTCACAGGTCACCTGCAGCATGTGCCCATTTCACCACCCAAAACCAGCCAGAAAGGTTTTGCTGCTCATCTTGTTGCCTCTTCTTGCTTGACACAAGACTACATCAGGTCAGAAGTCAACTCAGGGCTGCCTTAGTGTCGTTCAGATAATTTAGTGTCCCACTGCTGCCTAAGAGCTCCTTGGGAGCTGGCCCTGTCCAGTGATTCTGGAGGGTTATATGGCAGTGCCTGCAGTGATCAAAATTCTGCTTGGCTGTAGTAAAGCTCAGGAGCTGCCTGAGCCCTTCTGGGCCGGGATTCCTCTGTCCCTGCTTCCAGAGCTGACAGTCCAATATCTTGCTGCAGCTGTGCCAGGTGTCTAAGACCAATTGTCCTCTGGGGAGACCCGGAGAGGGATATTTTTTCTCAGTTGAGGCATCTAATTCTGACATATTTAAAAGGTGAATGACACTGCACTGTTCAAGCTTCCCCCAGCAGTCTCCCAGGCCTGCACTTTCTCTCCAGCTGGATGGATGGATCACCCAGTCACCCAGATCCCAGAGGTTTCCCCAGCAAGGAGTATTCTCCTGCTCCAGCTGCCCTGGACACGCTGGGCCTTGGGTTGCCTCTCACCCATGACTTCACCCCCCTGCTGTGAGCTGGGATATGAGTTGTGAGAACAGTTGTGTGGCCCCCTTTGGTCACCACTGCTCCTGCCACCACAAGCAGTGATGGAGCCCAGGGGAGCCCTTGGCTCAGCCAGACCTCTGGGATTGGCAGCCCTGGCCCTGCTGGGCA